AATATATTTTATTGATTTTTTACAGAGAGGAAGGGAGAGGGATAGAGAGTTAGAAACATCGATGAGAGAGAAGCATCGATCAGCTGCCTCCTGCACACTCACTACTGGGGATCGAGCCCTGCAACCAAGGCACATGCCCTTGACCGGAATCGAACCCGGGACCCTTCAGTCCTCAGGCCGACGCTCTATTCACTGAGCCATTTTTTATTGATTTCAGAGAGGAAAGGAGAGGGAGAGGGAGAGAGAAACACCGATGATGAGAGAGAATCATGGATTGGCTGCCTCCTGCACACCCCACACTAGGGATGGAGCCCGCAACCCGGGCCTGTGCCCTGACCGGGAATCGAACCCGGGACCCTTCAGTCTGCAGGCCGGCGCTCTATCCACTGAGCCACACCGGCCAGGGAGCAGCCTACATTTATGAGCAGTTTCACCCTGACCATAGAATAACAGGGCTCCGTGTAGAAACTGAAACAGCAGAGGAGGGGGGTTGGAGGAGGGAGAATTCAAATGTCACCCCCTCAGAAGGAAGAAATAGATCAAATCTACTTCTATTTACACGTCCGGGAGGTGGTCCATAATTTTATGGGCTCAACAGTAGTTCTCCTCCCTCCCCCACTCCCCAAGGACAAGGACAAACCCTGGATTTGCAAGATGGCGAATCCCAAATCCGATAGAACCAGGTCATGCGGGAGCCAACATCTGTTAAAATATTTTGTGAAGAAGAGGGCTGGCCCGGCCGGCGTGGCTCAGCGGTTGAGCATCGATCTATGAGCCAGGAGGTCACGGGTTCGATTCCCGGTCAGGGCAGAGGCCCGGGTTGCGGGCTCGATCCCCAGTGGGGGGCGTGCAGGAGGCGGCCGATCCATGATTCTCTCTCATCATGGATGTTTCTTTGCGATGGGGTGGGGCCACAACATGAGTAACAAAGAAACAGAATTTCCGGAGGATGAGGCCCAGAAATCAGGATTTTAAAAAGATTCCCAGGTGATTCTGATGTGGGCTCGATCCCCAGTGGGGGGCGTGCAGGAGGCGGCCGATCCATGATTCCCTCTCATCATGGATGTTTCTTTGCGATGGGGTGGGGCCACAACATGAGTAACAAAGAAACAGAATTTCCGGAGGATGAGGCCCAGAAATCAGGATTTTAAAAAGATTCCCAGGTGATTCTGATGTGCAGCCAAGGCTGAGAACCACTGTTATAGAGGATATGATCTCCTTGAAATCAGGCCGCCAGTCCCTTCCCTCTGCAGTTATGATTTTGACATAAACCAGGTAGATGCTGGGAACCTTACTTGCCTGGGACTTTTTCCCTGACTTATTTGAGGCTCTTGGAAAAGTTCAATTGGAGCCTTTTTTACTTCCTTGTGCAACCTCTGGCAGGAAAAGCCAAGAAAACACTTGGATAGAATCGTTTTCGGAGAGAGAAGTGGGACAAAGTTCAGATGTTGGGAAAGAGAAATGAAAGCTACAGCCATAGAGGCAGGACCTTCCCAGGTGCTGAAACTCAGTTCACCGTCCTCAGCGGGTGACCCAGAGGATGAGTCATCACAGTGCAGGAAAGAAAGAAAAAAAAAGGGGGGGCCCTAGCTGGTGCGGCTCAGTGGATAGGGCATCGGCCTGCTCACTGAGGGGTCCCAGGTTCGATTCCCAGTCAGGGCACATGGCCGGGTTGCAGGCACCATCCCCAATAGGGGGCGTGCAGGAGGCAGCCGATCCATGATTCTCTCTCATCATGGATGTTTCTCTCTCTCTCTCTCTTCCTCTCCCTTCCTCTCTGAAATCAATAAAATTATTTTTTTTTAAAAAAGAAAAAGAAAAGAAATGGCACTCAAACTCCTCTCACTCAGTTCGTGCCAGTGTTGTCTGAGCTCAGGATCTTCATTGATGAACATGAGGTGCCAGGGGGAGGTGGGGGGGCTTTTCAAACTAGTCTGCGATGTGTGAGTCAATGGAGACGGAAAGAGCTCTGTGGTCCATACGTCTGGGAAATGCTGGCTCTTGGCTTCCTATTGGGGTCATCTTCATAAGGGCATGCATTATTATTATTTTTAATTTTTGTATTTATTTATTTTTATTGATTTCAGAGAGGAAGGGAGAAGGAGAGAGCTAGAAACATCCATGAGAGAGAATAATCATTAATTGGCTGCCTCCTGCACGCCCCACACTGGGGATGGAGTCTGCAACCCAGGCATGTGCCCTTGACCTGGGAATTGAACCTGGGACCCTTGGGTCTGCAGGCCGATGCTCTATCCACTGAGCCACACCGGCCGGGGCCCCATTGATTTTTAGAGAAAAGAGAAGGGAGCTGGAGAGACAGAGAGAGAGAAACATTGATGCGAGAGAGACGCATCGATTGGTTTACCAGGGCCAGGGACAGAGCCTGCCACCAATATAGCCAACATATGTGCCCGTCTGTGCCCTGGACAGGAATAGAACCCGGGACCCTTTGGTCGCTGGCCGTCGCTCTATCCACTGAGCCACACCGGCCAGGGCAACAATGCGCTTCTGACTCTGCAGCCAGGCACGTGCCCAGAGCCCAGCAAGCACCCCCACCCCCAGGGCAGACACCCCTACCCCTCCTGACTGCCCTGGGCCTCCTGCAGTCCATCCGGGCCTCCAGCAGGCTCACCCCCGGGCCACGTGCTCGCATGCACCCTGCAGTCCTGGTGGGAGGAGCACTCTGGCCTTTGTGGCTTCAGACCACAAAGATTATGGTCAAGGGCACGTACCTGGGTTGTGGGCTCCATCCCCAGCAGGGGGCATGCAGGAGGCAGCCAATCTATGATTCTCTCTCATCATTGATGTTTCTATCTTTCTCTCCCTCTCCCTCCCTCTCATCTGTACGAATAAAAGGGTAATATGCTAATTAGAC